CGTGCCACAAGCCTCATAACCTCGGGCTGATGAGTGCGAGGATGTTTAAAAGAGAGAGGGATGATGGGATACAGACGCTGCTGGGGGTTATGGGGGGCTGTGGAGGGATGGGGGGGGCGTTTGACAGAGCGCATCCGGCGCGGCACTTGGCGTTAATGACAGGCCATCTTGTTGCATAAAGCAATGTTAGTGCAGCTGTGGTATGTGCCGAGCGCATCTGGACTGCAGATTTTTGGGAATGTAGTGTGTGTGTGTGTGTGTGTGTGTGTTTGTTTGGTCTGTCCCGTCTCACTCAAATTAACGACTGTTGCACGATACGGAGGAGGATGGAGTGAATTAACTTAGTTGGGGATCTTTGGAGGGGGGTTATTGAGAAGTGCAGATTTTACAAGGCTTGTTTTTCTCTCCTGGCAGTGTCGCACGTTTACGCATATCGAAACTTGTTAGGATTAGACGCTGGTTGTCAGGTCGCTCAGAGGGGGGAAGTTCCTGACCTGCAGAGTGACCACAGTGACGCTCTGCGTGACCGTCAGGCCCCCTCGTCACTCCCAGATTACCTGCAGGGAGCACCTTCGATAACGAGTTCATTAAAGGCAAATTATTAGTTTCATCTGATTTACACTCACTCAACTTAAAAAACAGCTTCACTCCAAACTTTTAGGTTAATATAAAACAGTAACATGAAAGACAAAATAAATGTGTCACATGACCCTCATCTGACAGGAAGTTCATCAGTTTAACAGAACTTTTTGTTGAGCATTTAATTCTCTGTCATGTGAACATAAAAACACAGAGTTCACATTTGACAACTATTTTCTTTAATTTCATTAAACTATAAAAATATATGAAGCGAGCTGAGGTTTCTCATTAACTATAATAAGACAAAGTGATGAACTCTGAATGGAGCCGGGTGATATGGCAAAAAATATCATCACTGTACTTTTACCCGTATCGATCGATATCGATATTTATCACGATATATAATTTGATAATGCAGTGAGTTTGAAAAGTATCCTGATAAAGTCCGACACCTGAAGAAACCAAATGGTTTTTGTTGTGCTCGTCGTGAAGCTGCGGCGTGTACACCTCAACACTGCAGACTGACTGACAGCTGTCTGTTAACTTCGGCTGTTTGGATACATTAGGTCTGTCCATGTCCAGTAAAAGTCATTGTCATTGACATACATTTAATCCTGATCCCGTGTCGAGATCGTTTTATCGCCCAGCCTTAACTCTGAACCAGGAAATGCTCTTTATTTCCCCTCAGTACAGCTTCCTGTCTGACACTCTGATGTCACTAACTTTTTATGTCAAGTGAACATGAAGTTTTTATGTCATATTGATAATCTGGGGCATCTGTGTGGACTTTATTAACACTGGTTTGACCCCACTTTGCACGACAGTGGGATCAAAACACAGGTTGCTGCAGCTGTGACTCTGATTTGGACGGAAAATAAAGAGTAGAACCCGGAATTATTAAAGTTTAGTGTCATGGATGGATCGGGGGTTTACATTGTTGTTAAAGTGAACCTGAATTTCTTCAGATTATGGTGAGGTAGGGCTCAACAATCTGGATGAAATCATATTACCAACATTAATGTAAAGAAAAATCAACCTGGAGAACATTATGTGGTTACGTTTGTTTTTGATAATGACTGAAATGTGTATGTTGGATCAGGTGTTTAAAAAGCTTAACTCAATGTGTGGCTGGATTTGTGATCACATGAATACCTGCAGCTGACTGTTATTTTAATCATCGAATAATCTGAACAAAATGCTTTTTATTAATAATGAAGTCTCCACAATCAAAATGGCCGTCACCACCAACAGTTGCTGATCAGTCAATAATTGACTAATCATTTCACACTAATCAGTCCCTCCAGGATTTCTTTCACACCTCACTTAAATGCACAACATCAGAGAGTGGCCAGGCCCCTTCTTTAGCGAGACGTTGGTGTCACACGTCTGCATCATCACAACCAAAAACATGGAGGTGAGTGTGGTGACGTTACACACACACAGACCGTTTATAAAGATGGACAACGTTTATTCATCAGATAGTTTCTGACTAGTTTATTCAAGAGAAATTCATTTATGAAATCATTTAGCATTTGAGACTTATTAAAAAACAGGTGCTTCATTTGAAAAACTTCCCTTTTAAGTAGGGATAGACCGATATGGATTTTTTAGGGCTGATGCCGATACCGATTTTTTTCCATCACCCTTAGCCGATGACCGATTATGGACTGCCAATTTTCTTGAGCCGATATTTGGGGCCGATACTGCTTTTGCTCCCTCAATTTACATAAAAAAAAATGACACAATGATAACAAATATTACAGGTCTCAAGTTTAAAATAAGAAACATTTATTGAACAGTAAAAAATACTAAAACAAGATGGAAAGTTGAGGTAGAACAGGTAGAATATTATTATTATTATTATTATACATTCAAATAAAAAAAAAGAGTTCAGTGCTCTTAAATCTTCCAGTAACGTCTTTATAAAATAAACAAATATTTAAGCTGAAGCATAAATAAAACAACAACTACTGTACACAGTAGGATTCAACAGTTTTATTCAACTTAACCACATACTTTGAAATGAAAAAAAGTGCCAGGGAAAAATAAATCCGCGAACCCACGCGTGTATCGGCTGATGCCGATACAAGTAAAAAACTCAAATATCGGCCTGATATATCGGCCGGCCGATGTATCGGTCTATCCTTACTTTTAAGTGTAAAAAAAATCATAATTTTGTTATTGGTGCTGAAACTGTGGGGTCATGTCAGCGCCAGTAATACAACATTTCAAACATGACCCGGCTATAATCATCACAATATGATTAAACTTAAGTAGGTGTTTGATGATATTAAAAACAATGAAAAACATCTATCCGTCCATTTTCATCCGCTTATCCGGGGCAGGGTCACAGGGGGCCTCTCCCCAGCAACGGTTTCCAGCTCCTCCTGGGAGACCCCGAGGTGTTCCCAGGCCAGACGAGATATGTAATCCCTCCAGCGTGTTCTGGGTCTGCCCCGGGGCCTCCTACCAGTGGGACATGCCCGGGACACCTCCAGCGGGAGGCACCCAGGAGTATCCTGATCAGATGCCCGAACCACCTCAACTGACCCTTTTCGACATAAAGGAGCAGCAGCTCTACTCTGAGCTCCCTCCAGATGTTTGTGCTCCTCACCCTATCTCTAAGGCTGAGCCCAGACACCCCACGGAGGAAACTCATTTCCGCTGCTTGTATTTGCAATCTCATTCTTTCAGTCACTACCCAGAGCTCATGACCATAGGTGAGGGTTGGGACGTAGATGGATCAGCTAATTGAAAGCTTCGTCTTGTGGCTCAGCTCCCTCTTCATCACAACGGACAGACACAACGCCTGCATCACTGCAGAAGCCGCAACGACCCACCGATCCATCTCATGCTCCATTCTACCCTCACTCGTGAACAAGACCCCAAGATACTTGAACTCCCTCGCTTGAGGCAGTAACTCTCCCCCAACCTGGAGAGGGCAATCCACCGGTTTCCGACAGAGAACCATGGCCGCAGACTTGGAGGTGCTGACTCTGATCTCAACTGCTTCACACTCGGCTGCAAAATGCCCCAGTGCATGCTGGAGGTCACGGTGAGATGGAGCCAACAGAACCACAACATCTGCAAAAGCAGAGATGCAATTCTGAGGTCTCCAAACCAGACCCCTTCCTCCTGAATATCACAAACAGGATTGGTGACCCACCAAGAATGTGTCTGACTTTACACCAAGTATGCAGACACAGCTTTCACTCGTAGCAGCGAGCCTGGCACCCCGTATTCCCGCAGTACCCCCCACAAGACCCCCCACAAGACTCCCCGAGGGACGCAGTCATAAGCCTTCTCCAAGTCCACAAAGCACATGTAGACTGGATAGGCAAACTTCCACGACCCCTCCAGCAGCCTTGCAAGGGTAAAGAGCTGGTCCACTGCTCCACAACCAGGACGGAATCCGCATTGCTCCTCCTGAATCTGAGGTTCGACAATCGGTCGGAGCCTCACTTCCAGCACCCTGGAGTAAACTTTACCCGGGAGGCTGAGCAGTGTGAAACCCCAATAGTTGGAGCACACCCTCCGGTCCCCGTTTTTGAAGATGGGGTCCACCACCCCGGTCTGCCACTCTGCAGGCACCGTACCCGACCTCCACGTGACACTGAAAAGGCGTGTCAGCCAAGGTTTCCAACAGCTGGTGTCCACCAGCGGGTTCTTCAGTTGGTGCCACAACAGGCACCGACAACCTTCTGACCACAGCTCCTAGCAGCCACCTCCACAATCCAGGCTTTTAACATGGACCATCACAGTGACATTAAATACTTTACAAATATCTCAACGTTCTCAGTTTGTTGATTAATAGTGTTCAGATTTGTCAAAATGTTAAATATTAACAGTGACAGTGTCGACCTGTGATCAGCAGGAATGTTTCCTCACAGTCTTGAGTAAACTTCTCTGAGTGACCCAGATATTAAATTACTTTATAAATCCCTTATTAAATCCCTTATCAAACAGACGTTACAACAGGAAGATAGTGTAGTTATGCATAATTCTAATTATATGTAAATGATCCTGGTGATATTGTTTTGTTATTGTCAGTATGGTACAGACTCAGACTGAAGACAGTCATCAGTTTTATTTTGGAAAAATCAGGTTCAGACGATGATGTCATTGAGATGAAGTCACCGTTTGTCTCTAACTTTCTGTCCCCAGATGAGTTAAAACATTTATTTCAGTTTGACAGTAAATGTGGCTCCACATGGATCTGTGGTCACAAATACTCTACTTCTCTTACAGCAGCGCTCTGTGGTGACGAGGTGTTTGTGGCACTGTGGCGCCCTCTGCTGAACAGATGAGGGGTGAAGTTAAAGTGCTGCTGACTGTTTGTGCTGTAGTGTTTGTGTGTGTTTGTGTAGTTGTGTAATTGTGTTCCCATCATTATTAAGAGACAAACAGAGTGAGTGCAGTGAGCCAGTTATTACAGATGTGTTTTATTCAATAGTTCAGTCTTCAGCTTTTTACATATTTATATAAAAACATCAAATAGAAATCACAGCGTTGACGTGTGACCGTATCAAAGGTGCTGATGGTTACGGTACAACTACAAAGGACACATGTTAGATTATCCATCGGGGTCAGACTTTGGCTCGATGCCCTACTTCTGATTTCTGACTGTGTTTACAGGAAATGTTCTGTATCACTGATGATGCAGATGTAGGTCAGACAGACTGAGGACAAGAAGCACTTTGATATAATGAGGAAATGTTTAGTGAGTCGTACATGATATTTCATTAGAGACTGTTTTTAGGAGACAACTTTGTTAAACATAATTGACTTTACATTAAATATTTATCAGGTGCTACTGATGCTGCACAACTTTAGGAAGAACAACAAAAACACAAACTGCTGTTAAAATATGTACAAAAATCCCTTCAATTAAAAATGTTCCCAAAGAGGAAAAAGGCCACAGCAGGGGGAGGGTCGTTTGTCTCAGTAGGTCATGTTATGTCAAAGATATTATAACTTTATAGATTTGACTCAACATCTCTGAACTTTACAACAACGTGAACCTAAAACACACTCAGGTGATTTATGTTGGACAGATCAGACTCTGGGGTAACGTAGTGCATTTCATAGATACAGATCAGGACACAGATGAAGATGACGAAGGGTAGAGGTGAACAAACCCGAGACTTTGAACAAGCTGCACATCTTAAAGTCAACAGATTAATCATGTATTTATTGTAGGTTTGTTTGGATCTTAGCTCGTGTTGTGCTGCTGTGTGACGTTAGTTCGGTAGACACCCTTTAATCAGGAACTAACTGGTTCATTTTCAGAAAAAAATCTAAATAAAGTGAAGTGAAGTGAAAGTGAGTTTCCTGTTGGACCGGCGCTCCTTTGACTCAGTGAACTTTAGCGCCACATTTCAAAGCTCCGCCCATTTAAAATTGGTGACTTTTTAATGTTTTGTGATGTAAATGTTTCACCTTTTATGTTAATTTCTGTCGGTTTTGCAGACAACGTGTAGAAACATGGTGCCCACGGCCTGCCGTCTGGTCTACACTGATGAGCTAACATTAGCTAACCAGTGGTGTCGCGTTTGTTGGGTTAAAGATCAGTTTATAAATGACCAAACTTCACTCAATCAGCTCTTCTACCTACATAACAAATTTATGTCCTGTACACCATTTCAAAAAGAACTCCTTACTCATTAAACACACTACAGTCTACATTATTAGCTGCTTAATCAGTGACTGAGAGGGCCGTTAATACGTTTGATAAGAAGGCTGTAATTAATATTCCTGCTGTTATCATGTCTTCATGTTTTTGTTTGATTCCTGCTGAAATCACTGAACTTTGACCTCATAATGTGAAAATGAGACTTTAGTTTCTGTTTATTGACTCTTAAAATGACAGAGACTTGTTTAATCAGTGGTGGTCTATGCTGACAGAGACTTGTTTAATCAGTGATGGTCTACGCTGACAGAGACTTGTTTAATCAGTGGTGGTCTACACTTGTTTAATCAGTGGTGGTCTATGCTGACAGAGACTTGTTTAATCAGTGGTGGTCTATGCTGACAGACTTGTTTGATCAGTGTTGGTGGTCTACGCTGACAGACACTTGTTTAATTGGTGGTTGTCTATGCTGAGAGACACTCGTTTAATCAGTGGTGGTCTACACTGACAGAGACTTGTTTAATTGGTGGTGGTCTACATTGACAGGGACTTGTTTAATCTGTGGTGGTCTACGCTGTCAGAGACTCGTTTAATCAGTGGTGGTGGTCTACGCTGGCAGACTTGATTAATTGGTGGTGGTCTACACCAACAGACTTGTTTAATCAGTGGTGGTCTATGCTGACGGAAACTTGTTTAATCAGTGGTGGTCTACGCTGACGGAAACTTGTTTAATCAGTGGTGGTCTACATTGACAGAGACTTGTTTAATTAGCGGTAGTCTACGCTGACAGAGACTTGTTTAATCAGTGGTGGTCTACACTTGTTTAATCAGTGGTGGTCTACACTGACAGAGACTTGTTTAATCAGTGGTGGTCTACACTTGTTTAATCAGTGGTGGTCTACGCTGACAGAGACTTGTTTAATCAGTGGTGGTCTACACTGACAGAGACTTGTTTAATCAGTGGTGCTCTACACTTGTTTAATCAGTGGTGGTCTACACTGACAGAGACTTGTTTCATCAGTGGTAGTCTACGCTGACAGAGACTTGTTTAATCAGTGGTGGTCTATGCTGACAGAGACTCGTTTAATCAGTGGTGGTCTACACTTGTTTAATCAGTGGTGGTCTACACTGACAGAGACTTGTTTAATCAGTGGTGGTCTACACTGACAAAGACTTGTTTAATCAGTGGTGGTCTATGCTGACAGAGACTCGTTTAATCAGTGGTGGTCTGCGCTGACAGAGACTTGTTTAATCAGTGGTGGTCTACGCTGACAAAGACTTGTTTAATCAGTGGTGGTCTACGCTGACAGACTTGTTTAATCAGTGGTGGTCTACGCTGACAGAGACTTGTTTAATCAGTGGTAGTCTACGCTGACAGAGACTTGTTAAATCAGTGGTGGTCTATGCTGACAGAGACTCGTTTAATCAGTGGTGGTCTACACTTGTTTAATCAGTGGTGGTCTACACTGACAGACTTGTTTAATCAGTGGTGGTCTACACTGACAAAGACTTGTTTAATCAGTGGTGGTCTATGCTGACAGAGACTCGTTTAATCAGTGGTGGTCTGCGCTGACAGAGACTTGTTTAATCAGTGGTGGTCTACGCTGACAAAGACTTGTTTAATCAGTGGTGGTCTACGCTGACAGACTTGTTTAATCAGTGGTGGTCTACGCTGACAGAGACTTGTTTAATCAGTGGTAGTCTACGCTGACAGAGACTTGTTAAATCAGTGGTGGTCTATGCTGACAGAGACTCGTTTAATCAGTGGTGGTCTACACTTGTTTAATCAGTGGTGGTCTACACTGACAGACTTGTTTAATCAGTGGTGGTCTACACTGACAAAGACTTGTTTAATCAGTGGTGGTCTATGCTGACAGAGACTCGTTTAATCAGTGGTGGTCTGCACTGACAGAGACTTGTTTAATCAGTGGTGGTCTACGCTGAAAGACTTGTTTAATCAGTGGTGGTCTACGCTGACAAAGACTTGTTTAATCAGTGGTGGTCTACGCTGACAGACTTGTTTAATCAGTGGTGGTCTACGCTGACAGAGACTTGTTTAATCAGTGGTGGTCTACGCTGACAGAGACTTGTTTAATCAGTGGTGGTCTACGCTGACAGAGACTTGTGGTCTACACTGACTTGTTTAAACCAGCTCTACAGGTGCTGGTTCCCACTACAGATTTACAGATGGTTATTTAATGCCCCCTCATGATAAATGCTTTATGTGGACACTGAACATCCAGAGAACTCCTCCCAGTCCCTCCTCAGACCTGTTGTATCCCAGCAGCCCTCTCTCTTCATCTCCTCGTCTCCTCTGAGTGGCGGACATGTTTAAGGTTCAGGGTTGAGATGAGGACCTACTGGGCCTGGGTCGTCTGGTTCTTCATCTCCTGCCACTTCTTCTGCCTCAGACTGAGCTCTGCATCAGAGAAGGCCGCTGGGCCCCAGTTGGTGATGAGCTGCTGTCCCTTTGACCCTGCAGGAGGAGGAGACAATGTTCCATGATATAACCTTTAATATTTCACCCTGTGTGCCGTCATGTGTCACTGATATCGACTGTAAACAGGAAGTCAAAGTAGTTCGGTCACATTTGAAATTTTAAAAGTGGCTTAAAGGGACAGTTCAGACTTTCTGAAGTGTGGTTTTACAGGCAGCACAGTACGGTGATGTTTTGCGTGGCGATATTGTATCGATACACGGACGCCAAATATCCATCTTATATTATATATGTTTTTTTGCAAATACGCATTTTAAAACAACTTTTGGTACAAGAATAATGAAATCAGTTGCTTTCTCAGCTCACTAGATGGCGCTGAAACTCGAGCTGAAACTCTTGGGCGGGGCCAGGAGGAGGACCGCCACTGTGCATATTCAGCTGGCTGCATCACATGGAAGTTAAACCCAGAAGTTAGAGGCTTTTTTTGGTGTATGTGCTGACACATGTTCAGCTGCACACACATTCTGTTCGTAGCGTAAATGACACGCAACTCAAACCACACCCACCAACACAAGGGTTATCTGAACGCTGCTACAGCGCCACTCTGAGGTGAATAAATATGAGGCCAAATGTAGCAATGATCCACTTTATTATTCTTTCTACATGAAGACATGATTCACTTGATAAGATGAAACTCTTCATCACCCAAACCTCAGCCATCTCTCCCTGACGCTTCTTATCTTTGTAACCACTAACAAAGGGTTTCTGACATGGCTAGTGCTTCTGGGCCAATGGGTGAAGGGGGGCTGATCCTGGACTGATATGCAGGTTAAAGTGCAACTTGCAGGTTAATTTTTTTTTTAAATATATACATAAACCTTGTCTGAAAATTACCAATATGAGAAGTTAATTCAGAATTTATTATGGTTTACATGACATAAGGGCACAAATTCAGAGGAAAAAGTGGCTCTTTTTAGCTCCTCTTCTAAAAACGCTTTTTTTTTTCAACATCGCCAGATAGTACGTCACGAGAGGGACTCTGCGTCCTTGACCCTGCGTCTGTCCAATGCGCAGTAGTAGGTGGTAGTGAGTGTGAGCGGTCGTAAACTTGTGAGTTAGTATTGTTTCGGTTGTTAACAGTGCATTTCACCATTTGTGATTATGCCGAATTGTGCAGGTTGCACAAACCCGAGTCTGTCAGGACATCGAGTCCACCGTTTTCCAGACAGAAAAAGGAGTGGAGGTAGTTTTCGTGCCTGGGTGCGTTTTGTGCAGGTGAAGAGGCGCGATTTCACGGCTTCATTTGCGCATTAGTTTCTGTTATGGGTAAGTAGCATTAGTTATCTAATACTGGCAGAACTATTGGTAGCTTTGTTATAACCTAATACGTGATGGCAAACTTAATGTTGTGATGTGAACACAGCGTTAGACATCGTTAGCTAACGCTGGTCGCTCACCAAGACACCTGCCCAGTTCTCCACTGGTTCTCCTCACACCACAGCTCTATTTCTCTCCTGTGGCCGTTATTTCTCCTAATCCTGATCTGTTCCTGGTCTCTTGGACGCCTAGCAGGCTCATAATTATAAGCCTGTGGGCCGTCGTATGCATATGAATGTACATTTTCAGCCTCTTCAGTCTCACTGGGGTCCATGTTTATTAATGTTACACTCAATCGAACTTGGCCGGACTCCCTTACGCTACCTCACTTCCGGTTAGTGGGTTTTTAGATGCGTAAGCAAAATTCTCTCACAAAAACAACCCCAAAAGTCACTGTAGTGTGTATATGTTTTTGTTTTTTGTTTTAATCGAGTTTCTACATCATTTTCCTACACATTTATTCACCATGGTCTCCAACCTGTAAGTTGGGCTTTAAGGTGGGCGAGTCATGTAGCAGGAGGGCGGGGATACGTAGCAGGGGCCAGGGTCACATAACAGGTGGGCAGGGTCACATAGCGGGGACGGGGGTCACACAACAGGAGGGCGGGGTCACATTGCAGGAGGGCGGGGTCACATAGCTGCTCCAGCTGCAGCTCTACCTACTCATATGCACCAGGTGAGCAGCTCCATCATACTGAATGTGTCTAATCCTGAGGTCTGGTGTCTAGTTCTTCTGACACATCTGTTACAGTGTGCAGTTACGTGTTTCTGTCTGCAACTGGAAAATATAACCGTATCCTAGTTTTCATTGCGTCAGTCATTGTGTCGTGTCGTGTCGTGTCGTGCTGCAACAAAACCGACGTGTTTTCGATCTGTTCACAGTTTGTGTTTTGGAGGATTTTCTCAGTGTTGATACAGATCAGTCAGTCTGTTTTAATCAGAGATCAGTTTGTGACTTTTGTTGAATCCAGACTCCTCCCGTCTCTTTACACAGATATCAGACTCTTCATCATTAAACAGATATAAACATACAGATGCAGCTGAGCCATATTAAGTGTTATGTTCAGTCATTTATAGTTATTTTTATCTTTAATGTGACATTAAACTGCACTTTAACCTCTTTACCTCAGCGTGATTTTACTGGTATCAGACGTATCAGAAGCCATTTTAAAGTCTCTGACTGAAGGAATTTGGACTGATATTATATTATATAATATTCTGTCTCTTCACGTTGTCCTCTCTCTTCTGTAGTAAACAACATTCTTGCTGTGAACGCCGAGGCCAAAAGTATCAGCAGAATTTAGATATCTGATTGTAGTGTTGTGTCCCTGGAGCCTGTCTGTGTTGGCTGAGACAGATGACGAGAGAGTCTCAGGTTTAAAGGAGCCAAGTTGTTTCTCCTTCACTAATTTCACTAATGAACTCTGTGGGGAAATTATTACGAACCAGGCGCCATCACATTTATTCATGGCAGCAGTTTGGAGCTGTAGAGAGGAAACAATCTGTGTGTGTGTGTGTGTGTGTGTGTGTGTGTGACCGCAATAACACCTTTTAATATTAACACCTTTAACACTGTATTTAACACACAGCTGCTCCGTGCTGCAGGAAACACTTCACTAATATACTTCACCTAATGACGAAGTAACAGCAGCACAGACTGACCACTGTAACAGTCAGTTTGTTAAATGTTACTTGAGGTCAAAGGTCACTGTGCTCTCAGTTAAAGGGAAAGTTCAGCCCAAAATTAAAACTACATATTTTACTTATGACCTGTGGTGCTGTTTATCAGTCAGATACAGTGGTGGAAAAAAGTTTTCGGACACCCCATGCATTTGTGAAATATTGCATTACACTCTTAGGTCTTCAAGTGCAATTTCTTTTAGTACAGTCACAGCCAAAATACTAAATAAATCCTAAAAAAGCCATTAAAAACTTAAAATTGATTGGTTCCATAAAAATACATAAGAAATTTTGAGTATTGGGTCATTTTGGTACCAGTGATGAAGGTCGTTCTTTTTATTAAAAGACACAATTTTTGTTGCCAAGCTTCGTGTCTACATAAAGCCAGCACATTTGAAAGTTCTTCAGACACAAAAATGGCTAAAACAAGGAACCTAACGCAGGAAACACGCCTGAAGATAAAGATTCTCAGCCAGGAAGGGTACAGCTGCCGCCAGATAGCCAGGAAGTGCAGATGCAGTCCTTCAGCAGTTGGATACACTCTGCAGAAATACAGACGAACCAACAGCTTGGAAGACAAACCAAGATCTGGGCGTCCAAGGGTTTCTTCAGCAAGAAATGACCGCATCCTGATCCGCATGTGCAGGCAAAACCGCCGAATGACATCACAGGAGCTTCAGCAGCAGTGGTCAAACCAAACTGGTGTCCAGTGTTCCACCCGCACTGTACGTGGCCGACTTTTAGATCATGGCTTAAGGTCCTACAAGGCTATCAAGAAGCCCCTGATCAATGAGAGACAGAGGTTAGCCCGGCGTCGTTGGGCCCAGGCACACAAGAACTGGACAGCCAGGAATTGGAAGAAGATTTTGTGGTCAGATGAGTCCAGTTTCCAGCTTTATCTTCCTCCTACTAATGTGAGGGTACGCAGAAGGCCAGGCGAAGCATTATCTCCAGCATGTACAGTACCTACTGTCAAGCATGGTGGAGGCAGTATCATGGTTTGGGGATGCATGAGTGCTGCTGGTGTTGGTCATCTCACTGTCTGTGATGGCACATTGAACTCTACCAAGTATTGTACCATTCTCGAAACCCACATGCTCCCTTCTGCGCGTGCACTGTTCCGTCGAGGTAAAAACTGGATGTTTCAACAAGATAATGCCCCTTGCCACACATCCAAGGCCAGTAGAACTTGGCTGCAGGAGCACAGTATCCAGGTCTTAGAGTGGCCAGCTCAATCCCCGGACATGAGCCCCATTGAAAATCTGTGGTGGATTATCAAAAGGTCTGTTTCAAAGCATAAACCAAAGAATTTAGAAGAATTAAAAGCAGTAATTCAAGAAGAATGGGACAAGATTACCCCTCAACAGTGTGAAAGGCTCGTGGGGAACATGCCAGCCAGGATTAGAGCTCTACTACGTGCCAATGGCAGGACTACTAAATATTAATTTGATGATGTGATGGTTTATTTATTTTTTGTTCAGTTTTGAACACATTCTCTGTTATTTGTTGACTTTGATACCGACAATGTTGAGAACTGACATATTGAAACTGTCAAGAATTTAGTTTTGTTAGTTTTTCTTGTGAACAATAAACAAAAAAATATAATTTGTATTTGTTTGTATCTGTCTAATGCAGCCACACCTTTTGAAACACAAAAAAGAGATTGTGTAAAATTTTAAGGGTGTCCGAAAACTTTTTTCCACCACTGTAGTTTCAGTGTGAGCTGCAGAGTGTTGGAGATATCAGCTGTGAGGATGAGGTGGTGGCACGAGGATGAGGTGATGAAGCTGCTCCTAAACTCCTGTGGTGTTTCTGACTCTGAAGTGTCTCAGCCTCCTGTTCAGACTGTCATGTGACACTGCATCTTATTTACATTTAAAAGGTGTCACAGAGACAAACACCGTAACAAGTGGAATAACGGCCGGAAATAGAGTTTGAAACAATAAAAATCTGGACTACAACCTGAAGCTAACTCCACCTGTCCTCTGATTGTCCCCACGCTGAAACACCCAGATATCTCCTCAGATAGACACACAGACAGAGGTGGCGTGCATTAGTTACCTGGTTGGATGAGTCGTAACATTCCCTCGTGTTCAGCCACTTTGTGTTTCCAGGTTTTTGTGTTGTTTGTTGCGTCTTCCAGTTTTTTCATCACCGTCTGGTTCACACGTGCGCGCGCACACACACACACACACACACACACACAGACTGATGAACAGATGGTACAGGGAGAGGTTTTTCCTTTCTAACAACTCTTTGGAAACTTTAATCAAGATTTAAGAACAGCACGTTTCAAAATCCTCTATTAACAGATAACGTGATTAAAGTTCTTTCATGATTGACCCTGATTTCTAAACAGCTGTTTCCTATCCAGCGGTCACACAGTGACACCTGGTGGTGAACTGAAAGACTTCTGTGTAGACATAAAGTCATAATGTTAGGTATGAATAACAGCAGTGATGAGAGTTTCTGTTTTCACTGTCACAACAGATAAACAGTGTTAGAGGACATCCCTGTGCAGCACAGCTGTGTGTGATCCTTCAGGAGACAAATAACTTTATAACTGCTCAGCAACTACAAAACTTAAACTCACTCTCAGGAAGGTTTTTGTGACTGTGCTGCATTTTGGGTTCGACTTTCAAGAAAAATAGTGTGTTAAGAAAAATCTGTTTTGTAAATATCCAACATTTCTTTTGTGTCCTCTGTTAAAGATTTGCTCCACAGCTCACAGCTGAGTCTCCAAACATCAGCAGTGAGCTGGGAGGAGAGTCTGAGGTGCTGATAATAATCTGGGAGTGATCCTTTAACCAGTAATGGTTTTTATACACTTAATAAGAACTGAGATTAATAAATAGTGAAACTGGTTAGATGCAGCTCCTCCACTGACTTTCACAGGTTCTGATGAGTAACACTGTGATGTCGTTACTGTAACTGACTCATGTCCCGACAAGTTCAAGTTATTGTCATGTGTAAATAAAATAACAACATCCACAACATACATGCAAGTGACAAAAACACCAAAACAAGGGCCAACCTCAACAGGTAGAGTGAGCACCTCATGTAGAGTGTTTCATGTAGAGTGCACCTCATGTAGTGAGTGAGCACCTCATGTAGAGAGTGAGCACCTCATGTACTCTAAAAGGGGTGAAGATTAGCATGTCCTGCCTGACGTCATGTTTCCATCACTGCCGTAAATACCTGAGTCTACTGCTGACTCATCTGACCCTGGGATGAATACCACCTAACCTTTCCCACTGAAGACAAAGCCAGATGTTAGTTGGTGAGTGTATGACCACTGTCAGCTGACCTGGTACTGCTCCAGCGCCCCCTGCCTCTCCTGCTCCAGCTGCTCCAGCTGTTTCATGGCGGCCTGCAGGGCGCTCTCTTTGGCCAGACGCTCCTTCTCCAGCTCCTTTTTCTCAGCCTCTGTCTCTGAGATGGCGAGCTGCTGCCGCAGGTGGAACTCCTCTAGCTCCGCCCTCTTTGTAGCCTCCTCCTCCAGTAACCTGCTCAGCACAGACATTAAACATGGGTTAGTTTAATAATCCTGTACACAGGTCTGTCGTCTGCAGCTGCTCTGAGCCTGAGTCCTGCGTCACAGTGCCACAGTGTCACAGCTGAGGTCAATCACAACATAAACATACAAACGTTTCCTCCTTTTTCTCACTGACACAAACATTTTGGATTTTTTGTGCCTCCACACTGAGGACAGCTGTGGCCAGGACGGGACGAACAAGATATCACAAATTTCTTTAAATTTTGCACAAACGTTCACCTGGACTCAACTATGAACTGATTAGATTTTGGTGATCAGAGGTCAAAGGTCAATGTGACCTTGTAAGACGATTTTTTTTTTTGAATGATGTATTGAATAATTCTCTCCCATTCTCTCTTTAATTGGACCTATGCTCCTAAAGAAAAAACAAATAACTAAAAACACCAAGAGTCTCATTTATAAACACTGCTTATGCAAAAAACGAAGCCTGAAAGAGGCATACGCCTCCCTCACACACAAAAGTTGTGATCTATTAAAACAGACTTTTGCTTTTGTCTTTACGTACATTTGTTGTGTGGATCTTACACAGTTTTATAAATGAGAACCCTGATGAGGCTGCCTTGTTCCTCTTTCTAATGCACTAATACAGATTATTTATATATAAATATATGTGTATGTATGTATATATATATATATATATATATATACAGATTATT